GGTTTAGGGTTTAGGGTAATTTTCAATAAGGTGTTGGGGCCCATTATTGATTAAATAATACTACAACTAAAATGAGCAACCTCCAAAATAGTCTTGGCAATTATTTCGGCCCCTCTAGTAGCCCACTGGAGCCTCGGTGCTCGAGCTCGATTGGCTCTCTTCCGGCATGCTCGACGGCCAAAGGTGAAGCGCGCCCATGCGAGCTGACGTGGGGCTCTGGCTACGGTTCACATGCGTCTCAATATTTCGAAGCTGTTCGGTAATATAGGGGCCGAAATAATTAGAATAGGGTTTTGGGGCGCCTTATACTATAGTTAGAATAAGGAACCCCCCAAAACCCTATTCACTATTCAAATTATTAAGGCCCCTACATCGTGGGGAGCTGCCATGGGGCCATTCCTTGCTACATCTTCCCGGCCTGCAAACCCCGTATCCCGGCTGCAGCTTCCCAGGATCTAAAAAGTTCAGCTCGAACCGGAAACGCAGCGCCACGGGCAAGCGAGGGTTAGAGGCTCATGGGACGTGGAACTATTGTTATAAATAAGGTAACCACGCTTATAGCTACTTATAACTCCATTTAGGGCACTCATAAACCTAGTTACTCCCATGAATCCCCAATGTAGCAAGCACCACAGCGTAAAGCACAAAGCCACAAAGGGAGTGTCGCAACATCCGCTGCGACCCTAAACCCTAAACCCTAAAACCCTAAACCCTAAACCCTGAACCCTAAACCCTAAACCCCAAAAGGGCCCGGGGAGCCCATGGCTTAACAGGCGCCTCCACGAGGATGCCTACCAGCATGTTAAGCATCATGAAGGAGTTCAAGAGGATGTAGAAGATAAACGCCTCAAGCAGTCACGGTTTAGGGTTTAGGGTTTAGGGTTTAGGGTTTAGGGAGTTCAGGAGGATGTAGAAGATAAACACCTCAAGCAGTTTAGGGCTTTGGGTTGGGGGTTTAGAGCTTAGGGCTTAGGGTTGAGGGCTCAGGGTCGTTTAGGGTTTAGGGAATAGCGACAAGAAAGATCCGTTTGGCAATCACCTCAAGAGGGTCCTTTGCCAAGGCACCGCCAGCATCCACATGTTGTTCTGCGCGTGAATGATGTCCTGAGGAGAAGTTCGTAGCGAGGAAGCGACAGAGACTTTATTCCGGAGCATTAAAATCTCGGACCGCAAAACAGCTTGGTTCAGGGTTTAGGGTTATGTAACATAGGGCCTTAATAATTAGAATCAGGTTTTTGGGCCTATCATACCACAATTAAAATACGGAACCCTAAGGAATAGTTCAGGTAGTTATTTCGGCCCCTACAGTAAGTGAAACAACCCTAAACCCTAAACCCTAAACCCCTAAACCCTAAACCCTAAACCCCTAAACCCCTAAACCCTAAACCCTAAACCCCTAAACCCTAAACCGTCTGAGTCAGCCGAGCGGCTGCAGCCTCCGTCACATCATCGAGGATGGTACCCATGATGAGCAGAGTGAGCATGGACTTATCCATCCCGCCGAAGTACTCGTGTATCTGAACGGTTTAGGGTTTAGGGTTTAGGTTTAGGACCCCTAAACCCTAAACCCTAAACCCTAAACCCTAAAGCGCAAATCCCACTGCTGCCGCAGAAGGTCCAGGTACCAAGTCTCTTGAGGTGCGCACCTTCCGAGGGTCGTCATCTGCCCACTCCTTCATCTCGTCATCCGTTATGTGACCTGCCCAGAGACTCCAATATCCCTTAAGTAAGGAATATACCTTAAAATATAAGAGGATCCCTAATATGTTTTCAGGTATATTCCTTAATTAAGGGGTTTTGGAGGCTCAGGGTGGCAGAACTGGGTGTCGGTGTCAAAAGCTCTCACACTCATCTGCGATGAGGGCTCTATAATGAACCCTAAACCCGAAACCCTAAACCTTAAACTCTCTACTAAACTAACAAGGGAGACCCTAAACCCTAAACCCTAAACCCTACACCCGAAACCCTATCTACTAAACTAACAAGGCAGATTCAAAAAAACTTCTCCCAAGTCGGTGCTTGACCGAAGGCCTCGATCCGGGGTCCCTGCCTTGGTGGTACTCGTTCGTGAAGAGGATGGACCATGTGAAACTGATGATGACCTGAACACATTAGGGTTTAGGGTTTAGGGTATATGGGTTCTTGGGTTCAGGGGTTAGGGTTTATAGCAGCTTAAGAGTTTAGGGCTGAGGAATTCGAATCTACGGTTTTGGGTTGAGGGTAATCTGCTCATACTTGGAGGGTCATGGGACTTAGCAACTAGGTCTATAAATAAAGTAGCTCTACATATAAGTAAATATAACCCCAATAAAGGTGGTTATAACCTTACCTACTAACTAAGTCCCATGATCCTCCAAGTAGGGTCTCTGTTTAGGTCCGCAGGATGGTACGGCACCCTTATAAAAAGCGCAAAAGAACCTAATTTAGCGAAATCCCCGCATCGGCGCCAGGTCTTGCTGTCACTTGTTGGTTTCATGTGGCTTATTTGTACAAAAAACTCCCCTACCCTGAACTCATCTCTTCATGTTGTAGCATACGGTTCCTACCTCATAGGCTCCTTGACTTGTTGCCAAGGCCATGAAACACCACAACAAGGTGCACGTACCCCTTAGGTTCCGGCAGCCCTCATCTGGTCAATCGGACCCTGGTAGAGAACTGCAAGAGCAGGGTCTTCGACGCAGGGGCCCCTAACGAAGGCCCCTACCGAATTTCCTCAACATCGCTAAACCCTAAGCGAAATAGAAACCTAAACCCTAAACCCTAAAACCCTAAACCCTAACACCCTAAACCCTAAAACCCTGGACCCTAAAACCCTAAACCCTAAAACCCTAAAACCCTAAATCCCTAAAACCCTAAACCTTAAACCCTAAAACCCTAAAACCCTAAAACGCTAAACCCTAAAGCCCTGAACCCCTAAAACCCTAAACCCTAAAGCCTTCAACCCCTAAAGCCCTAAAGCCCTGAACCCCTAAAGCCCTAAACCCCGCTCCGGGGGCCCGGGCCAGTAGAATGGCCGTCCAACCAACAGCCCGAGCTGCCGCAGAGATGCCTGCGGTTTAGGGTTTTAGGGTTTAGGGTTTAGACTTTAGTTTAGGGTTTAACATTGAGGGTTTAAGGTTTAAGGTTTAGTGTATTGTTTAAGGTTTAGTTTAGGGTTGTTTAGGGTTTAGGCTTTAGGGTTTAGGCTTTAGGGTTTAGGGTTTAAGGTTTAGTTTAGGGTTTAAGGTTTACGGTTTGGGGTTTAAGGTTTAGGGTTTAAGGTTGAGGACTTAGGCTTAGGGCGGCTTCGTAGATCTCCCAAAACCCCTTAAGGAATCTACCTATGAAGATTCCTTAAAGAAATCGATACGGGAATTAAGGAATACACCTTAAATCTTATCAGGGATGCTACTCGAATTTGGGGCACAGTCCGGGAATTAAGGGGTTTCTGGGTTTCCTTGAGCTGAGTCAGAGTTTGGGGGTTTGGGGTTTAGGGTACAGGCTTTAGGGTCTAGGGTACAGGGTTTAGGGTTTAAGGTACAGTGTTCAGGGTTTAGGGTTTAGGGTATAAGGTTTGCTGTGCAGGGTATGGAGATAAGCTTTAGCGTTTACAGTATGACGGTATAGAGTTCAGGGTTCAGCGCTAACCGCTGGTTGGGTCTAGTTGTCATCCCTCCCTGCCCGGCCTTTGATGATCATCATCAGCTGTGGGAAGGCTCTCATCAACTTCGCCATTCTGGTGATGCCTCGGCGCACTGCCAAGGCGCCTACTTGGAGGTTCATGGGTAGTTATAAGTGCTGCTATACGTTCTGTAATATGGGTTATAACTATAGCTCTCCCACATACAACCCTACAGGTACTTGTAACTACCCATGAACCCCCAAGTAGGGTGAAGGGTTGAGGGAGATGCTCTTGACGTCCTCCGAGAAGTCCCTGTAAAAGCAAACCCTCAACCCGAAGCCTCAAACCTTAAACTCTAAACCCGAAGACCAGGGTGGAAGAGGAGCAACGTCATCAAAGTATATACTATATAGTTACATATGGACCCTTGTACCCTAAAGCCTGCACCCTTATGGTACCCTTAAAGGAGCCCGCAAAGGAACCCCCCAAGCCCCTCAACCCTAAACCCCTCAACCCTAAACCCTAAACCCCAAACCCCGAAACCCTAAACTCTGAACCCCTAACCCCCTA